TGTGTGTGTGTGTGTGTGTGTGTGTGTGTGTGTGTGTTTCTTTTAATTACATGGCTTAAATCCATCTAGACATAGTCAAGAACATGTAGTGCCAGATTCAGTTGTAGTTCTCATTCAACTTGTCACATGCTGACACATGAGCAGCACATTTTAGCTCACTAGGTATCCCATTGGCACGATTTTACAACATGCCCTAACCCTAACCATTCAGAGGATGGATAAGAATGGCCAGACTGCTCCAAGTTCACTGGAAGACAACAGTAACTCAAATAATAACTAGTTACAAACAAAGTACACAGAAGAGCATCTCTGAGCACTCAATACAAGTCATATTTGCCTGGTGTGATGAATCTCAATTTCTGCTGTGACGTTTCATTTTTCATATCATCTCACACCAGACATACCCCTGTGTGGTAGCCATACCACACAAGGGTCAACCTTATGTCTTTGGGCTGAAAGATGTGCCATTATACTACCCCAAAGCCAAATTCCTCCTTACATCAACAGTTTCTAGTCTTTGTTTGTTTAATTTAAGGCCTATGAAAGATGCGCTGAACCGTGGCTACTATGGTTACAAGTCAGATTTCTGAGATAATAATCGAGCACTAAAACAGTCGGTAATGTGAGTTTCATAATGACTAGTACCCTGCTAGTTTTGTAATGCATATTAGAGGCCATAAGAATCAAAAAGATGTGGGTCATAATGAGCCGTTTCCTCTTGGTATGAGCACCGAAGCACAGTTTACCAGAAGTGTTCACTTAATTGTCTGTCTGGGAGTCACGAAACTTTCATTTACAAACTCTGGTTAAATGTCTCATGGGATGAACAAACTGATCCACATTCAGCTTTCAGACCTCATGAGAACTCTGAGGAAGTACAGCTGCGAACTAAAGCTGTGATCACACATTTGTCTGCTTCTGTGTAATAATCAGATAGAACGGTTTGAAAACAAGGTGTGACCTTTAAACACATGCACGCGTACACACACACACACACACACACACACACACACACACACACACAAGGTGATGAAACAATCAATCCTATGAGTCATCCGGAGAGGTGGGATTAAAGCAGCATTGTCTGTATTTCAGACCTGCAAAGGCAGCAGGGCACCAAAGTGACCAAACCAAGCTTCGCCCACTCTCTGATTCAGATAAGAGCATTCACAATGAGATATTTGCACGTACTCATTTCGATGGTCAAGTATAGAAACTTTTATCAAGTCTCAGGTGAAGTTTAAAGTGGAACTCTACACAGAATCAAGTATGAAACTCTCAAAGATTATAAAAGGATTTTAATACAACAAATTTCTGGAATATAGCATGAGCGATTGGTCCTGCAGCATTAAAAGAGAAACAACAACAACAACACAGGAATTAAAAAAAAAAAAAAAAAAGTCTTCTGCCTCTAGAGCAACAAGAAGCTCTGCAACCTGTCATTCATCATTTACCCAAAACAACATCTCCTTCACTGTCAGTCCAAACATGGCAATAAATTGCTTCTGTCTCATCAGCCATCTTTCAAGCCTAAAACAATTTTTAAAAGACTGTCAACTTGTCAAGACATGTCACCGTCATATTTCTTGGGGTCCATGAGTGTCAGCTCAGGAGAAAAGCATCTTATTTAGAACTGTCACCACATTCTGTCACTATAACGTTACTGGTTCTGTCAGTGTGTGTGGTGTAAGGATCAACTTGTACGAAGTACTTGAAGCGCAGAAGTAAACTAGCTCTTAACATTAGCAGAAAGTGATCACAGAGGGCTTTTTTCTAACAACAGTTTTACAAGGCAGCTATTAAGTGGATTAAAATAATATAATATTGCAAATTAGATTGGGGAATCAGGTGGTCCGGAAATTAAACGGATAGTCCGCAGACATGTTAGCAGCTCTCTGAGGCTGTAGTTGAACATAGTGATGATTTAAACTAAACACCAGCCTTAATGATTGCTAATGCTAATGATGCTAATGATTAACAGCTGTTTACAATGAACCTCCTCACTTAAGGGTTTAACTATACTAATTATGTGCTGATAAATAACAGTATTCAAACAAAAGTAAAACTTGCTGATCAAACCGTGTTTGCAATATTACAATATGTTAATTGTGATATGTCTTATTAAGCAAATATTGCTATTCTTAGTGCCATATCTATGAAAGACTTTAAAGAAGATCTGTTACGCTTTGCATAATTTTCTGTTCAAACTAATCCTTTGCTATACAGCCTCAGAAGTTTTATTTTCTGTATGAAACAAACTGTTTAAGCCATTTTCCCCTAACTTTAAGCCAGCTTTTTTTCTTATTGGCTGCCAGAACAGGAAGTAGGTTGGGCATCTATGCTTACAACCAGAGAGTGTTCCAATCACTGTTAAGGATCCTTAGACCCAGCCTATTCATTATGTCCTCTGTGGTGGACAAAAAACTGAAAGATACTTTTTTTCTGGGTTCGCATTATTTAAAAGTTTGCTCACGTTTAACTGCAGATCATTGGTTACCCACTGGTTTGAGAAGTCAAACTGTGAATCTGTTTTTAAGCTGTGCATTTTTGCATTCTTGTTGTTTTGAAGACCAGAGCAAGGACTGTATCTGACTGTGAAAAACCCTCACACCACAAACTCAAAGAAGGGCTGTTTGTCAATCACGAGGTAGGCCAATGCTAAAGCACACCAATTATAACCCCAGGTTTTCAGTCTAAATGATCATTATATTATGTTCAATAAGACCCGAAATCGATTGATCGATTAACACCATAAACTTAACACATATACAACCAGACTTATTTGTTCAACCAGATAACTCATCTGGTGGTTATCAGAAGGAATGCAGGTTTTAAAGCACACTGACTACATTTTTCATGTCTGCCTGAATGAACTTCTATTAGAAATCACGACTGCAACTTGGCACATGGTAGAGTAAAAAGAAAAAGAAAAAAAACCCTATATGATAACATAACCATCCCTACCCAATTAGCTCCTGAACCTTTGTCTGCTGACAGCTGATAAGTCAAAGTCAAAGTCAACTTTATTGTCAATTCTGCCACATGTACAGGACATACAGAGAATAGAAACTACGTTACTCTCAATCCCTAGATAAAATAGCAAATGAACATTTAAATATAAGAGTGATTAAAAAATGCAGGTAAAATAATTAAAAAGTAAAAATTTAAATAAATACAATACAATTTTACATATAACAAGAAAGCTATACAATATACAATATAATGGGTAAATGACATTGGGTGCAAACCAGGCAGAGTAGTGCAAATAGGCAAATAATCTCTCATAGTGCCCTTTGTTATCTGGCAGCATATGTTTTATAGCTATCAGATGAGTGCATCACCCAAACACCCTGCCCAGCGCATCCTAGAAAGTCCCCAAGCCACCTGACCCTCCAGCACTTGATCCAGCCCTCACATAACTATCAAAAAGGAAGCTTAGTTTTACAAGTAAAGAGGACATGTCCCCAAACTTGGGCTCAATCTTTGGAAACTAACAAGCACAAGTAAGCCCCCACTCTGAGAGCTAAATGCTTTCTTTGGAAAGCCTTCATTTATAAATACCACAGCAATTATGTTAGACGCTAACTAGTTAACGACCATCTTTTCACGGGTAATTTATTCCGGGTCATTTATTCCCGGCTGAATCTGACCCAAGTTTGTTTTCCTTGCATAAGTTAAAATAACATGACTGTAGAGTGACTCAGCTCAGCAGCCACTGTGGGAGAAAAGCAGCAGAAAACCTGGGCTTGATCTGACCCGCTGTTTGTGCTTTGATAACTAAAAGCTCTGGACAAATCAAACTGTAACTATGGTAACCAAAGTGGCTGCTAACTTGAGATGAAGATGAATTAAATGTTGTGTAAAACTACACAATCAAAAAGAAACTTCTACAAGCTACACACAGGGCGCACATTTGTTCGTAGGAATAATAAAAGGTAAGAACTCACCACTCTCTTTTCCCTGAAGTCGATGCCGACTGTGGTGATGAACTTGGGGTTGAACTTGTTGTCTGTATATCTGTACAGGAACGTGGTCTTCCCCACGCCGGAGTCCCCCAGGGCAAGGAGCTTTATAAGGAAGTCATAATCCCCATCAGTCATAGTGATGACCGCAATAAACCTGCAGAAAACAGACAGAGTCACACGATCACGCACAGACCCACACACCAAATCCCAAGGTTTCAGCTTCCATGGGTATTCAGTTTGTCTGTGATAAAAACCAAGCCAGAAAAAAGGAAATAAGCGAGAAACAAGGAAGCCAACAAATAAGCTGAGGAACAGAACAAGGAGATGGCAACACAACCACACACACATGCAAACACCAACTGTCATGTTGAATTATGGTGGTGGGGATCATGGGACTGTCCAGACCAGAATATGGCTTTCTGGGAAAATAGTAACTGTGTGAGAACATAGCTAAGTGGGAAAATATTTAAGAAAAGAAGAAATGGTGTAAGAGTGCAAAAAAAGAAAAAGGAAAAAAAAAGGCAAGCACACACTTTATATATTTTACAGACTATTTTCATTTTATGCAGTTTTAGCTAAAAACAGTCAATGAGTTTGCTGTCAATTAAACGGGAGTTAAGCATGTCAAAACCAGTGGCACCACAATACAAACCCTTGTAAGAAACCTTTTGGCGTCGCATTTACATAATTTAAATAAGGATTTTGAAGATGCTGCTGACAGGCAGGAGGCAGATGACAAAGAAAAAATCATGGACATATAGTAAAGGACGACATGCAGAGAGTTGGTGTGACAGAGGATGCTGCTGCCATAGTGACATGGATGCGGATGGTCGAGTGTGGCAAACCCTAAAGGAACCAGGCAAAAGAAGACAATAAGAACAATCTTTTAATATACAGGCTTAATTTTAAGGAGGGACATAATTAACCTTTTCTAAACCAAACCAGTCACAAAGACCAAGTAAAACAAAGTATTGTTCACTTACCCAAAATGGTAAGTGAACAAAACTCTATATTGGACAAGCTTTGACCAGTGTTGGCGTCATAAATAAATAAAAACACTACAATTGTTATTTTTTAATGAGTTTTTTAAAGAATTTAATGCACTATGCAATACTTATTTATCCCCTGGTGAAAGTAATTAGTCACACCATTCGTTATTTGGCTTTTTTATTACTTCATAACATTACCTCACATGCATTGTCACATGATTATCAGTAGACAATATAAACCTGAGTGCTTGAAAAGAGACTTCTTTTTGGTTCATAAAGAGGTTTTCATCACCCCTCCAAAAGAGGCCTCTCCAGTTCTAAAAACCTGCAGAGGACACTACAGTGTTCAACTCTGTTGCAATTCAGCTCTTTTTATAACTTCACATTTCTTCGAGGCTGTCTGACCAACAACAGCACAGAGAGCCCACAGACTGACTGTACCTCATATTTGTCTCGTATTTTTTGCAGTGCCTCCATTAACAACAACAGTAAAAGTTGAAAAATGCAGAAACTGGAATGGTTAGAAACAATTGCTGTGACGGTGCAGGCTCTGGCTGCTTCTTTGGGTTTGACAGACCAATTGCTTATTGAACCTTCACTGTCTATGCAGATGTTTGCAAATAGCCAATGTCATACTGGCAGCAGTGATTAGTTTCTGTCCTTTAGTTTGCACCCATCACACTTTTGTCTTTTAGTAACATAAAAATGAAAGTAATGTCAAAATCTACACTAATTAAATGCCTGGCCAATTCACCACTACATGGCTTCCTGGAGGATAATACTGTACTTTAGCCACAGCAGTCAAGCTTTTAGATCGGCTGTTGGCACAGTGACTGCTATTGTTACCTCACTTGAATCAAGGCTTCTGAAGCTTTAGCCATAACATGTTAAATGAGTTGCTTTCTGTGGATTTTGATGTTTTGTTTTTTTAAACCAATTGTTGTTGGTTTCAAATTATGTTCCCAGGACATTGATAAGGGCATCCCTCAAGGATTGATATCCAACCAACTACTTTGTACAGTGAACATAAATATTTATTTTCCAAGTGGACTGTAATGTTTTGGGGGTTTTTTGTTTTTATCTGCTCAAAAGCCACTTTGAAGCCCCACCATAAACCAGGAACTTCAATATTTCCAAAGTTCCAGTTTGGTCTGGTCATCCAGCATCATAAACACTTGTGAATTTAGCTTGCATAACAAAATGTCCTACAAAAAAAAAAATAAAAAATTTAACAATCCTATACCAAAGGTCTTCATCTATTTCATATTATTACGACTACCTGTGAACTACTGAACACTCTATAAATGTGTTTTTCATGTGAAACTCCTAATTGTGTAAATCATTCAGGTACATAGTGTATTGTAGTCTAGTGTCTGTCTGCCTCATGGCTAAATGTGGCATATTTAGAGAGAAGATCATAAGACTAAGATTTAGTCAGCTGAGAAGAAGCATGGGAAAAATTCTGCTTTATTATAGTGAGGGCAGTGATTTGCCAGGAGGTCAAATCTCCTCACAATAACCTCACTGTACCTCAGAGAGACAGTACAATGAGAATCAAGAGTAACATATTTATAACAGACTAAAGATGGTACACTGCCACTTAACCTGGATAGTGGATTTAATAAGCATCCACTTCCTTCTTTAACCTAATCACAGTTAGTGCTTCCCAAAAAGTTGATTCTGTTCATCTGGATTTAGAGTTTTCAGTGAGTATGGATCGAGGCAGTTAGCCATTTCCAGCCAGTTACAATAAAAAGGTGGGGGTGTAAATCTTTGTAATGCTGTACAATATTTCTTCACATTTAACATTCATTCAAATGCATTTTATATTCCTTCTCATACAGTGGTGATGAGAGAAGTTCATTGATATGTCAATAGCTGAAAACTCAGTCTACACAGTAAATATTATCACCTAAACTTCTCTCTGGCTACCTCCTCCAGCTTTTCCAGAGGACACAGACATGCCATCCGAGAGATAGAATCTCCCTAGTTTTTCTTAGGTCTGCCCCAGGACCACCTCCTGGTAGGACAAGACCAACGGCAGTGCCCAGGAAGGGGTCCTGGGCAGATCCCTGAACCACCCTAAACCTTCAAATCAATATAGAGGAATAGCAGCTCTCCTCCAACTCCCTCCTCACCTCATCTCCAAGACTCCACACATCCCTCAGAAGCAGCTCATTTTCACTGGCTGTGTCCACAATTTCTAACTGTCAGCCTGTATCCAGAACTTATGACTGAGGATGAGGGTAGGAACTTGACTCAGCTTTCTTTACTACAACAGATCTGTATCTCACATCACTGGAGAAATCACACCAATCCATCTGTAAATCTCCCACTCCATTTGCTTTTTTATTATTGATGTAAATACGATTTACCTATTGTTTTTGTATTTTCAGTTAGGTGAAACTAATTCGATGAAATTGCTCTGTTCACCAAAGAACAGAAATATATATACCAACAACAAGAGATACTGGTTTCCTGCTGTTCACATTCTGGCACTGGAGAACATTCCATCTTCATAACAAGCAAAACCATAAACAAAAACAAAACAAAAAAGAAAATCACAAAAAATAGAAATGGCTATAAAGAGAGGAGAAATGGGAGCTTCTGCAAAGAGAAGAGATGACATGTGTTTGTATGAGGACACGTCGTCAGTGTTACTATCAAAAGGTCCATCAGGAAGTAGTGCTTTGCTCCTCCCCCTCTGTTATCGTTCATATCTTACTGATAACAGACTGCTTTCATTCTGACTCTGATGCACAAACACACGCAGCTGCATAAACTAAGAGCTCTTTAGTTTGTGGTTATGGGTATTCTTAAGACCACATTAACATATACTCTATGCTGAATATTTTAAGCTCCTAACATGAAGCACTGCTCCATACCGTTCCTAATGTAACAGCATACTTTTTGCATTTATAATTATCAGAAGACATCCTCCATGTTGTTTAAACGGTGAGAAATGAAACTTTATCAATCTGAAGCTAAAGAGTCTTGCTTCATAACTTTATCTTTACGACATGTGAGCTGCCTTTAGAGCACTGAGGAGGAACACATCAGAACACTGACTTCCTGTTCTGGAATAAACAGCCAGCATTTCTGACAATCTGATAAATGTATGAAGAAAAGTCACACTGACTGATTTTCTTTTCTAACTTTCTTTCCTGAATAACTCCAGCCAGGCAAACAAGTCAAAATCTGCAGAGCTAAATGTTTCCTTATCATCAGGGAACAAACTTTACCAGCAACCTGTGCCATGTGACTTATATGTTGATTTGGATGTATAAAAACAGCAAACCAAATGTTTTGAATATTTATTTTTCCAAATATTGAGAAATCTTGAGAATATTGAGTTTCTCATTAACTGTAGGAACATCGTGCATTTACTGAGCTTTAAAACATGCCTTTGAACAGGGGACTTTCTTAACCTTTAAAAAGACATTCAAGAAATTAGTTGTAGGTGGTTTCAGATACAGGGTCATATAGTAGGTGGTGCAACCACTGCGTTCTGCACTGCCTCCATCACGGCAACTAACTTTTACCAAGTACACTATGTGCTAAACATAACCCGTGGATACCCTTGCATATAAGATTGCATATCACATCAGATTCACTTTGAAAGGCAACACCAATCACATAGACAATACTGAAGAGCATTCCCATAGAGATGGGCTCAGTAATCAAATCTTACATAGTAGTAATGATTAAATGCATTATTTATCCTCTTGGCTCCCCATCACTGTAATTAAGTATGTAATGGATTCACAATGTGGCCTAACAAAGTATCATATCCATCTATTGTCACAATGCTGCTTATACATTCAGGGGAATCTACACTTGTACAGTGAGACATAAATCCTTCTGGCAGACCCAGGGTGTAATTTTCACCATTCACTGCTGTGCTGCTCTTAACACTCGCTGACTTATTACACTGTACATTTAATGTGAAGGACAGAAAAAAAAGGTGGTGAAGTCTAGACTGTGCATAATACAACAGCATGTATTAAAACAACATTTGGAGGTGAGATTTCAAACCTGCCGACCTTAATAAGGTAGCATCACTGCATAAAAACATGTAAATCTCCCATAAACGACATAATGTAAGACAAAGGCTCTGCTTTGCTCTTTGGCCTACTTGCATAAAATCCTGTGTGTTCTTTTGATC